GGATCCCCAAACGCCGCTCCGGCCTCAACTCCCGAGGCCCCCCTTCAAGCCTTCCCACTCCGGCCTGGCAAGTCCTGCCCGCCTCAGGCCCCTCTCTCAGAGGCCCCGCCCCACCCCGCCCCCATCAGCGGAGGGGGGTACCTTCTTTGTGACCCTCACCACCTCTCCCACCTCGACCTGGGCCCGCCCCCAGGCCACCAGGCAGCAGGCAGCTATGCACACCTACCTCGGGTCACGTGCACCTGAAGACAGGTGTGGGCCTTCACCTCTGCTAAGAGCTGGGGTTCAGGCAGATTCTTTGGCCGCTTACTGACCACGGGACTGGGGCACGTTACTTTACCTCTCTGCACCTGTGTTTCTCCACCAGGACAAAGAGGAGTTTGATAATCCCCACTGCAGATGGTGACGGCAGCCATGAAATTAAAACACGCTTCCTCCTTGGAAGGAAAGTTATGACCAACCTAGACAGCATATTAAAAAGCAGAGACATTACTTTGCAAAGTAATTACTTTACAAAGCTCTGACTGGTCAAGGCTATGGTTTTTCCAGTGGTCATGTATGGATGTGAGAGTTGGACTGTGAAGAAACCTGAGTGACAAAAAATTGATGCTTTTGAACTATGGTGTTGGAGAAGACTCTTGAGAGTCCCTTGGACAGCAAGGAGATCCAATCAGTCCATCCTAAAGGAGATAAGTCCTGGGACTTATCTGAGGACTTATCTAAGGACTGACGCTGAAGCTGAAACTCCAATACTTTGGCCACCTCATGCAAAGAGTTGACTCGTTGGAAAAGACCCTGAAGCTGGGAGGGATTGGGGGCAGGAGGATGAGATGGCTGGATGGCATCACCGACTCGATGGGCATGAGTTTGAGTAAACTCCAGGAGTTGGTGATGGACAGGGAGGCCTGGCGTGCTGAGATTCATGGGGTTGCAAAGAGTCAGACATGACTGAGCAACTGAACTGAACTGAACTGAACCTTAAGAGAATTATTTTGAGGATAAAAGGACATGGTGAAAGGGAAAGACTCCATTTGGTCGCGCAGCACTCCAGAGAAAGAGAAAACTCCCTAGGCCACCTAAACGGCGCCGAGAGCCCAGGAACAAGCAGCTCCAAAATGCTCAGCCCTGGGAACTTCCTGGTGGTCCAGGGGTTAGGACTCTGCACTTTCACTGCCGAGGGTGCGGGTTCAACTCCTGGCTGGGGAATTAAGATCCCATAGGCTGGCTTCAGCCATTAAAAAAAAAAAAAAGCCAATAAAATAAAATAGATTAAAAAAATAAAAGCTAATGCTCAGCCTAGGCAGGGCACCGAAAAAAAACAGCGTGAGGAGGCCCCTCCCCTCACAGCACCCCTCCACAACTCACATCCAGGTTGTGTCCGTATGACCTGACCACATGCCAGTGGCATGATGCCCATGTTAAAGGGAGCCTGTCCACACAGCATGTGTGGGCTGACGTCCAGGGCCCATCAGAAAGCCCAAGCCCCAAGAGGAAGCATCAGGCTATCTCCACCTTTGGTCCAGATGTCAGCATCACACAACATCTGGGCACTGGACCACCTCACTCTTCCCAGCTCAGAGATTCTTGGTCCCTGCACAAGCTACCCTGGCCGCCAGCTTGGCTCACCTGTTCCCTGGAAGCACAGGCAGTTTCCTGCAGATAAAAGACCAAAGCCCCGCTCAGAATGACCTGGCTGATCAGAGGCCTGGCTGATTCCACAGGCCTGAGTACCTGGCTCTCTTTCCCCACTCACCTGTCCCCTGCCCCATGCGGGAGGGATCCAAGCTGATCCCCCCATCCGGCACAGAGCAAGTGTTCAGAAAAATGCTTCCGCTGCAGAGGATACAGTGGACAAGATTCAGAAATCAGGTTTGGGTCTCCAAGGTGCCTTTCATCATAGCAGCCAAGCAATGATGTGAAGAGTGACCAGGGCGGGGCTGGGGGTAGGGAGGGTAGTCAATTTCTCCCATCTCATAAACAGACACTGACTCAGAAACAATAACACCTCATCCAGGGTCTCCCCCAGAGGCTCCTGCATACCTTCAAAACAACCTCAGAGGGCATGGCACAGTTCTGAACAGCCTATGCATTGAGTCAACAACAATCTGGGAGATTTAAGTTAATTCGTAACTCTAACAGGTTGTCCCAGCTGCAAAGTGGAGATAAGAGGATGATGTGAGCAACTGGATGAACAAAGTGCTTTGGGGAGGGCGTTCTGGGCTCACGCCCAGGTGCTCAGGCCAGTCGTTCCATCCTAGCTCTGCCTGGGCATGAAGTCACTGTTTAGCTTGCCCCTCTCTGAACATCACATCTCTCATCTGAAAACTGCAAGAGATGGGCAACATGAGCCCTTCTACAAGTTGAAGATCCTAACTTCCTTGCCACCCACGCCCTTCACTCCCCAGTCCAGAAAGCAATCCTTTCCTTCATTTGCTGAACGAGCATTGGGCACCTGCTCTGCACATGCCGCGTGCTGGGCACTGGGGCTGGGGAGGGACCCAGATGCGGGCAAGGCCCTGGAGGGGTCACCTGCTAACTGAGGAGACAGCATCACAGAGCCACAGCAGTCCGATGACCCACTGGACATGAGCCTGGTACAAAGAGCGTCCAGGCAGCAGGACGGGGCAGAGGAAGGGTCCCTGGGTGGCGGCATCGGCACTGAGGACCAAAGCCAGACCTGTAGCTGTCTATAGGGCCGGTGAGTGTGCGCGGCAGGTGGCCCTGGGAGCAGAAAACAGCAGGGATAAAAGCGCAGAGCACCGGAGCACAGGGACTGTTCTGAGGGGCTGCGGGTGGTAGGATGGGGAGACCTTGTGTGTGAAGGGGAATTAGAGGTGAGAAGGAGGGACGCAGCAACAGGGTGACCATCAGCCAGTGCCCCTGGCCTAGCACACGCAGTTCTCCTCCCCAGATGCAGCACAACGGCAGGTGCAACGAGGCCTGGGTGGGATTATCCGGGGGGGGGGGGGGGCACCAGGGTCACCCTGACCACGGTCAACCCCAGCTGTAAGACTTCCTCGCAGGCTGTCCCTGGGCTCGTCCCTTGCCTCTCTGGACCTCAGGCTCCCCGTCGGTCAGAGATCACACTTCTCTCGGGCAAAGTCAGGATCAGATGGAGGGCGCCTGCACAAAGCGCCTGGCACATACTGAGTGCTCAGTGAACGCTAGGTGCCAGGGCAAACGATTACTGTTATGGGGCGGCGCTGCAGGCCCTTTGGGGCAGGGACCGTCTGACAGGGCAGAGGACGCTCAGAGGACGTAGGAACGGGCGGCAGGGGAGTGGGGAGGGGTGCAGGAGCGGCTGAGCAAACAGGGCGGAGGGGCCTGGAGCAGATGGGCGCTCAGACCCCTTCCATTTCACTCTGTGCCAGGTGACAAGCAGCCTGCCAGGCGGGCATGCAGCCCAGTACAGAGTAGGTGCTCAACGAATGTTTGCTGAATGGAGGAATGAGGATCCTTCCCTTTCTACTCAGAACTCATTAGTGACACCTTTTCAGAAGAGACCACAGAAACCTATGTCTTCATCCAGCTCTGCCTGGTAGATACCCTCACCCTCACCCCCACCTGTGAGCAAAGCTTCATTCCAGGGCAGCCTGCCTCCCACAAAAAGGAGGATGCAAATTGATCCCCGCCTTCATCCTGGCCTCCAGGGCGTGGCCTGCTGAGGGGGTCTGGAAGCCTTGTGACCTCAGGTGGGCTAGGAGTGGGGGATATATCGGCTCTTTGGGACCCAGTTTCCCCAACGGTGAAGGAAGGCGGAGCCGTAGAATCTCCAAGGTGGACAGTCCCTTCTCCAAAAGCTGCCGTGGCCCCCTCAGAAATCCCCAGCCTAGACTGGGGAGGAGGGGTGGGTGACAACGTGGTAATGAAGTCATTCCCGCAGGAGGAAGGGAGGGGTCTTCGCAGAGAGAAAACCGCAAAACCCACCCTATGGGGTGGGGTGGGGGGCTCCTCGCGCTTCGTCCGAACACGATCCACCAGGAGCCATTACCTCACACCCAGCCGCGCCGGGAGACCCCACCCCTGCCTGCAGCCCCCCACCCCCGGCTCCCTGTAGACAATATGGGACACACCTGCCCCCACTCACCGGCCGATCTAGGACTCGGGGCGTCCGCAGAGCAGAGTCACAGTCCGAGGGACGACCGCACCCTCCCTCTGCCCAGGGGTGGGTTCGGGGCCCACGGTCCAACAGGTCCCCAATTAGAGCGAAGGCGCAGAGCCGCGCGGGGAGACAAAGGCTTCGGGCGCCGGGGACCAGCCCTGTCCACACTGCCGGCCGCGGCATGGAAGCTCCGGGGAGGGTTTCGGGCGCCGGGGACCTGCCCTGTCTACACTGCCGGCCGCCGCACGGAGGCCCCGGAAGGGCTTCGGGCGCCGGGGACCTGCCCTGTCTACACTGCCGGCCGCCGCACGGAGGCCCCGGGGAGGGCTTCGGGCGCTGGGGACCTGCCCTGTCTACACTGTCGGCCGCCGCACGGAGGCCCCGGGCAGGGCTTCTCTCGCCCGGACCCTCCCCTGTCCACACTGCCTGCCGCGGCACGGAAGTCCCGGGAAGGGCTTGGGCGCCGGGGAGCTGCCCTGTCTACACTGCCGGCCGCCGCTCGGAGGCCCAGGGGAAGGCTGCCTCCCTGTCTACACTGCCGGCCGCGGCACGGAGGCCCCGGAGACGGCTTCTCGGAGACGGAAGGGGCCCGGCGGAGCCACGGAGAGGAGAGGGAGGGAAAAGACGGGCCGACCCCCGGATGGGCGGCCAGAGGGGGACAGACACGCAGGCACGCGAGCGTGCCGGACCGCTCCAGGGGCCAGGATCAGAGACGAAGACGCGGGGGCGCGGGAACGACCAGGACGCGAGGACCTGGGGACGACACGCAGGGGGCCCCCCCGAGACGCACGCGGGGACAGACGCGCAGAGACTCAGAGACAAGCTCAGAGACGGAGACGCGCGCGGACACTCCGGCGTCTCCGCGGCCCCGGCCTCGCCCCCGCCCGGCCCCACTCACCGAGGCCGCAGACCTCGCGGCGCAGGCTGACGCGGCCGCGCTCCTCGGCTATGGCGCGCAGCATGTGCTGCAGCGAGCGCTCTTCGGCCTCCGCGCCGCCCGCAGGCTCGGGGGAAACGGCGACGGCGGCAGGGAGGGCGGGCGGCCCGGCCCGGAGCCCCGCGGGCGCGGGCACCGCGGCGCAGGCCCGGCCCGGCGGCCGCGCGGAGGCCATGCCGGGCCCCGACTCATCGCCCGCACCGCGGTGCCCGCGGGGGCCCCGGGCGCGCCCCGCCGACCCCGCCCCGGCGCCGCCCGCCGCCAGCACCAGAGAAGCCACAATCCGCCTTTGTGCGCGTCGCCGCCGCCGTCGCCGCCCGCCGAGCCCGGCGAGACCAGCGCACCTCCGCGTCGCTGACACACCGCCTGCGCGCCTCCAGGCCGCAGCCGGCCCCGCCCGGCCCCGCCCCCAGACCGCCCGGGTCCCTCCCCCAGCACCGCCCCTGCCCGCCCTCAGGCCACACCCCGGCCATCCAGCTCCTGCCACCATCTTCCAGGCCCCGCCCCCTGATCACCGAGGCTCCGCCCCTGGAGCCCAGGCCCCACCCCTGACTCGCCCAGATCACGCCCCCCGCCTCAGGCCACGCCCCGGATCACCCGCCTGTGACCTGCCGCGGGGGACCTACCCGGCCGGTTCCACCCACTACGCGCTGCCCCGTGAGGGACTGAGTTTGTCACTTGCCCTCCCCGTGGTCACCCTTCTCTCCTCAGTCAAGTTGTTTTCAGGACCGGTTTCCGCTAGGAACTTCCTCTTCAGAACCCAGAAAGAGGTCACCCCTCCCCCAGAAACAGGTCTCACGGGGTGGGGCGGGGTGGGGGACGGTGGAAAAGCCCTTCCTGCCGCCGCAGCCTCCGTCTGCCACAGTGCAGGGTGCTGAGAAAGGCTCCGCGCCTGCTTCCTCAGCGGTGCGATGGGGTCTCCCTCTGAGTGTTAACTAGGTACAAGGGGGTTGAAGACTTGAGAGTCCCTTAGACTGCAAGGAAATCCAACCAGTCCATCCTAGAGGAGATCAGTCCTGTGTGTTCACTGGAAGGACTGATGCTGAAGCTGAAGCTCCAATACTTTGGCCACCTGATGCGAAGAGCTGACTCATTGGAAAAGACCCTGATGCTGGGAAAGATTGAGGGCCGGAGGAGAGGGGACGACAGAGGATGAGATTGTTGGATGGCATCACCGACTCAATGGACATGAGTTTGGGTAAACTCCAGGAGTTGGTGAAGGATAGGGAATCCTGGCGTGCTGCAGTCCATGGGGTCGCAAAGAGTCGGACATGAGTGAGCGACCGAACTGAACTGAACTGAGGGAGTTGGGGGGGGCAGGGAGTTGAGATCAGCTGGACATGTGATCCTGATAAAGGCCAAGGTCCAGTGTGCATCCATCCCTATGCTGGCCTACACTGAGAGAGGAAGATCTGGGAGGGAAGCAGCTAGAAGCCCTTCCCTCACCTCACCCCTGGTGACCCATTTCTACGGAGCAGGGAGATGGACGTGGAGAGGGAGAAACTCACTCACTAAATCCCACTCACTACATCTCCAAGGACGTACCCCTGCCATCACACCAGCCTCTGTCCACACACCCATCAAGGTTCTCCCCCACCCTTGCAACTCAAGCTTCTTCATCTTTTTTGGGTCCCAGTGTCACCTCCTCAAAGAGCCTCCCCAACCACCTAACTTCAAAGACCACCTTCCCTCCCCTCAAGCCCTTTATCCTGTTTGGATTTTTTCTTATTTATTTATTTGGCTTCCCCAGGTCTTAGCTGCGGCATGTGGGATCTTCAGTCTTTGTTGCAGCTTGCGGTATCTTTCGTTGGGGCATTCGAACTCTTAGTTGCAGCATGTGGGATCTAGTTCCCTGACCAGGGATCGAACCCAGGTCCCCTGCATTGGGAGCTGAGAGTCTCAGCCACTAGACCACTGGGGTGGTCTTTATTTTTCTTCACACACATCACTTATCTCTGCTGACACTACCTTATAGAGCTCTGTGTTCTGTTTATTGTCTGATGTCCCCGCTGAGGGAGGGGCCTGTCTTCTGCACCATTGTATCCCTGTGCCTGGCACGTGGCCCACCACGAAGTAGATGCCCAGTGAATTGAGCACATGAAGAATGATTGAGAGGCCTGGTGGGAAGCCGCAGGTGGAGGAGGCAGTGAGGGACCGTGGGGTGCGGGAACAGCACTGGAGAAAGTGGATGGTCTGGATCCTGCTTCAGGCCTCACAGCTGGTTTGTGCCACCCTGAGCACCTCGTGGCAGGGTGGGGGTCTGACCCCTGTGTGCCCGCGCCAGGCATAAGGAGGGTGGGGTTCGGGAGGCTCTGTAGAGGCATGTGGAGGAAGAGAATTGATGAAGCCAGTGATCTGCAGTGTGTGTGTGTGTGTGTGTGTGTGTGTGTGTATGTATGTATATATATATATATATATATATATATATATATATATGTATCTTCTCCCCTGGGGCTGCTTCCCCATCTTTTAAAGGAAGACACTGGCCTGAGAGCTACGGTTCTGGTTCTGAGTCCAGACTGCTGGGATTTGGGGCTGGTAAAATGGGAAATGGGGGGACCTAAGATCTCACACGCCACAGGGCAACTATGCCCACGTGTCGCAAATACTGATCCCATGTTCTAGGGCCCATGTTCTGCAACAAGAGAAGCCCCCCGAGCACCACGACCAAGACCCAGTGCAGCCAAAATAATAAATAAATAAAATGTTTATGAGAAAATTTTTTAAAAAGAAAATGAAATGGGGCACAGGAATGACTGAGCAAGGGCTCACAGGCTGGCAAGTCCAATGGTCATCTCTTTCTTTGTTTCCCCAACTCCACCTGACCCCACCTGCCCCACTGACACCCCTTTGCTGGAAATCCTTTCTTCTCCTCTGTGTGATCACCTTCAAGGCCTACATTCTATGGGAAGCCTTCTGTTTAGGCCTGGCCAATGCATTTGTATTTTTATCTCTTTCTCAAACTCCCTTCCCACCCCCTCACGCCCCACCACACACACACATACAGTTGCCTCTATTGCTTCTGTGCCATACGACCCTCATCCAATGAGCTCATCCCATTTTCCCTGGCATCCAGCCCAGGAGAGGTGCCAGAAAATACTCATCGAATGAAGAAATGAACAGCCCTTGGGTTCTTTCCTTTTTATTCAATCATACTCCAAGTATTGCCCACATAGGAAATTTTTTAATGTCAACAAATGTTGACTAACACCTTGGACTTGCAGCAGGCATGAACCGGGTTTCTGGGGTCCCAGGGCGTGTCCTGCTTCTTGGTGTATATGCTGATTACACTGGTGCAGTCTGTTTATAAAACTCAGACTGTAACTTGAAGAGTTATACACTTTTCTGTGTATGTGCAGAATGTAAAATAGAATTAAAGATAGAAAGATTTAAAGTCCTTGAAAGAATTCTGGTGTACCCATATTTCCCATGACAATGAAAATGTTCTTTCCTGCAAAGAACTGAATGTATTTTTAGAGAGACCACTGAGGGGGAAAAAGAATATGTAGGCAGAACAGTGGTCCCCAAAGATGCCAACCCCAATCCCTGGAATTTGTGAATATATATTACCTTACATGGTAAAAGTGGAGTGAAGTGAAAGTTGCTCAGTTGTGTCCAACTCTTTGCGACCCCATGGACTAGTCCATGGAATTCTCCAGGCCAGAATACTGGAGTGGGTAGCCTTTCCCTTTTCCGGGGGATCTTCCCAACCCAGGGATCGAAGCCAGGTCTCCTGCATTGCAGGTGGATTCTTTACCAGCTGAGCCACAAGGGAAGCCCAAGAATACTGGAGTGAGTAGCCTATCCTTTCTCCAGCAGATCTTCCCGACCCAGGAATCTAACTGGGGTTTCCTGCATTGCAGGCAGATTCTTTACCAACTGAGCTATCAGGAAGCCCTACATGGTAAGAGACCCTTCCCAAATGTGATTAGGTTAAGGATCTTGAGATGGAGAAAGTATCCTGAATTACCCATGTTTATCCAATGCAATCACACACATTCTTTTTTATATATATATTTATTCTTGTTCATTTATTTGGCTGTGCTGGGTCTTAGTTGTGGCAGATGGGACCTTTTAGTTGTGGCAATTGAACTCTTAGTTGCAGCAAGATCTCTCTAGTTCCCTGACCAGGGATTGAGCCCAGGTCTCCTGCATTAAGGGTCTTAGCCTCTGAACCACTGGAGAAGTCCCCACAAATGTTCTTAAAATTGGAGGTTTCCTGGCTGTAGTCAGAGAGGTGACAACAGAAAAGGGATCAGATGAATGCGGTGCTGCTGATGTTGAAGGTTAAGGAAGGGACCATGAGTCAACAGATGCAGGCAACTTCTAAAAGCTGGAAAAGGCCAGGAGACAGATTCTATGCCAGAGACTCCAGAAAAGAGCACAGCCTTCCCTACACCTTGATTTTAACCCATCTCCTCCCCACCACCCCCAGTCCTACTTCTAACCTGTAGTTTGTTGTTAGCCACAGAAAACCAATGCAGTGGGCAAACCTGAGATGAAGGGAATCATATAAACTTTCTACTCAAGCCCTTCTTTCCCCAAGGTTTATTTTGCAAACAACATTAGAGCAGCAATCAGGCAAAGTGCAGAGGAAAATCAACCACAGGCGGTCTGCTTTCACAGGTCAGTTGCTTCGTTGCCTGACATCTGTGCCCCGCAGACCTGAACACCATCCTTGTGTATACAAGGGACAATAGCATTGGTGGTTCATGTTTTCCTCTCTCAATATTTGGGGCTGATCTTATTCAAAGAGCCTGTCAGTGTTAGGAACAAATGCTCCCAGAGAACTCTTCTCACAGGGACTGGTCATCAGAAAAGCCAGCAGTCCTGATGCTGGCCCCTGGCCACCAACCTTCTGTTCTCTGAGCATTGTTTACTGTCCATATAATGGCCCATGGGACTGGGTGATCTCTAAGCACCCTCCTGGACTTCCAATGTTCTGTGAGTCTATCAGTTCAGTTCAGTCGCTCAGTCGTGTCCGACTCTTTGCGACCCCATGAACCGCAGCACGCCAGGCCTCCCTGTCCATCACCAACTCCCGGAGTTTACACAAACTCATGTGCACTGAGTCGGTGATGCCATCCAACCATCTCATCCTCTGTCATCCCTCTCCTCCTGCCCTCAGTCTTTCCCAGCATCAGGGTCTTTTCCAATGAGTCAGCTCTTCACATC